GTCTCGAGTAAAACACACAGCACCACAAAACGTAAATGTAGTAAAGATTGCATTCACTTCAAAAAATGCTGAAAAAATATTCATCTTCAAAAGTTATTACTACAACAGGCAAGTGATTTGACTGCTTCTTGTCACAATGAGGCAGCTGTGCAGCTTTTATCCGGACCAAAAACTACCCAAATCATATAACACAAATTATAAAATGCTGTCAATATCAGCCCTTCACTTTAGCTTTAATTATGGCAATGCTGAAATATAAATCTGCTTATGTATTGATCTTATAAAAAAGAAACGTTTATTCGCCTGCAAAGTATAAAAGGAATTTCTACTGTTACATTAACCACAGCAATAAGATTTAAAAGCTTCCTAAAAACACTGCCAGAATACGCATTCTAACGGAGGACTGCTAAAAATAGTTTGTATCTTAAAGTTACATTAGATCAAACAAATAGTTTAAGAACATGCCAACTAATTATGATGGTACATGCAATCGATACTAACTCTTAACCACGATCTCATAATACAGGTCTAGACTTAATTTGGTATTCAAATAACTCGTTGCGTTGTTAGTCGATGTTATGGTATTGTGTATATTCACCATTATATAAACAGAGGTCACATGCCATAGTTAGTTCCCGTAGACGCTGTACTTTCACATCTTTGATATACAGGGCTTATAAATGTGGGAAGACAGAATAACAAAAAACAAGACAAAAATGGTATTCTTTTTTGGGTAAATGCACAGATATGACAAGAGACTGAAGTTGGTGAGGGCCGACCAGAGAGAACGGACACATAACTGCGGATGTTTCTGTGTCATGTGATAATTCCGCCAGAGCAACCTGCATAGTACCACTATGCGTGTTCTGTTTCAAATGGGTTGATTGTTTCATTAAATAATTTACACATTGCTTATATACCAATTAAGCATTATAATTCAATTACCAAGTCATTACTCCAATACAGTATTTATGTCCAAATTTAAGGCACTGATTATCATGGAATACTTCATAACAAGATAATGTGTAGTATTAAAATACTACTAATAAATATTCGAGCAAATATTAACAAATTTAGAATATCACCAATCAATGCTGCTTCTAACAAGATCCTAAGCAGACTTTCTCTCCAGCAAAGAAAGGTCATGGACGGCTGGGTGACTGGGTCACTGGAAGGCTCCAGGCGGGTCCCGGGCCGGTCCCCTCAGAACGTCGGCCCCAGACTGCTCAGGTCAGAGGCAAGTCGGGACGCATCTCTGTAGCGTCGGGCGCGAGGGGGCGCTTCTTCCTGGGTAGACCCTCGACCGATCCTGGGTGACGATGACGGGCGTAGAACAGCGCCCGTCGTGAGCAACCGTAACTAAACCTATGGTGAAGGCGCCGGCTAAGGGCAGCCCTGTCACCAGAGCTTTTGTGCGGTGAGGAGACCTGACATGCTGTACAACCCGTCCTCCCACAAGGACCTGTCAATAATATATAGCATGAAGTACCAAGATTGTTAGTACCTTAATATGTAATATTTTTCTAGAATGCAGGACCTGGAATAAGTTCATCTCTGTTATATACATAATTTGCACAGCTTTAAGAGGCTTGGGAATGAAATAAATGTCAAAAATTCCATTACCTGGAACCCAGCGACACAATCATGGTCCAAGGGCGCCCAGGCGATGACAACACCGTCAACACCGACTCGCCGCGTGATGTGTAGGTTCTGCGGGCGCGGGACGCACGTGGCTTCCACGTCTGACGGCGTTGAGATGGGCGACCGCTCCCGCCACTCCGGGGCCGAAGAGCAATCTACCGCTGCGTCCAGCGGGGCCACGCCAGTCTAAAAGCACAGAAGCCAATGTTAGCGCTCGCATTCAGTTATGATATGCAGTTAAAACTGGTTTAAGCAGCTGAAATAGGTTAAATCTTATAAAGCCCGGGCGAAACATGCCTTCGGATATCTCACAGAATTGAACTGAATAGTGAACCCCATCCCTTGGGTGATGAAAATTGCTAACCAAAAATGGTTTCAGGTGACAGAATATCACTAAACAAATAGGGCATACGTTTTCAAAGGCCAACTCCAATATCCTTATTCCAACAAAAAGGTAGTTTATTGCATACAGGTCGCTTAATCTAATAAAAATATTCGTTCACATCACACAAACATCCTAGTATATTAGAACCAATTTAATTTAGCGCCACGATAGGTTATAAATTCTTAGCCATAATAAACACATTTAGCAAGGCCCTGCTTCATAGCTTCCAAATATGAATGAGTTTACTTACAAATGCCACAAAGCATAAAAATCTATTTTGAAAAATACTTGCCTGGATGATATCTACCTTAGGTAGATAAGCTAGCTTGGAAACCTAGTGGGGCATTTACGAGAAAAATATCCTTAGCTGCAACTTTATTTATATACCTTCGTAGTTAAGTGCACATTTTATAATTTCCGTGATTTTAGAGTGATTATATTCTGTGTACATTTCTTATAATGAAAGGGCAGCTAAACGAGCAGTATCCATTGCCAAAATTGGAGGCATGTATGAGAATAAATAACTCCATAATGCAAGAACTGAATTACATTTTCAGATGAAAACTAATCAGAGAATATATAAATCAAAATGTCAATTTCACCTAACTGGCTGACTGCATTTACTCAGTGATTGCTAACTCATAAATCTGTGAATGTGGCAGTGACCGCCAATGAGAAGAAGGTACAACCAGCATAAAAATCAGGGTATCTTACCACCATCCGCTTGACCTTCCGCGCGTCGGAGAGAAACCTTCCCGGCCGTTCTCGTCTGGTCGAATCCTAAAAGCAAGCAAGAAACGGTCACATGCCATAAATCTGCACTCACGAAGTTCTGAGCGGTGGGGGCATTCCACTCACTCTACCAGTTGGGAGTTTGAGGATTACTAAAGATTCCTTTGAAATATTTGATGCATTTTCCTTAACCAGTGAGAGGTTCAACAGAAAAATGGTTGAAAAATAATAGTAGAGTCTAGGATGTGAAAAGGAAGCATCATTAAGATGACAAAGAAATCTTTTCTAGAAACTTTCTTGAGCTTTACTTGTCTTGAAGTACTTCCACTTTTCCTTAAGCGATTACAGGTACTTACAGCTACAAGTTAAAAGATTGCTGGGGAATAGCAACTGCAATATGTTTCTTACTTAGCAGTACACTAGAAAAAAGAAGAGATACATACTCTATATAAATTACAGCAGGAAATATCAAAAAGCACTAGCAATATTACTGCTTAAGATGAGATAAGGAGAAAAAGTAAAGATTGGTCAACCTTTCTGCCCGTGGGTTTTGCTGGAGTAGAGGTCGCCAAGGGCTTCAACATAGGTGTAGGTTTTGCTGGAGTTTGCTTGAACTCCCGCCTAGGTTCTGGCGTTGGCTCTGCAATTCTCGTGTGAACTGACACAGGTCTGCTCGCAGGGGCAGGGCTCGGTGCAGGCTTTGCAAATTGCACCGGCTCTGCCTCTGGTTTAACCGACTGTTCAGGCACAACATCGGGCTTAACCATACGCACTGGCTTAGATGCAGGTTTTGCACTGGGCACAGAAGAGGGCATGTATCGTGGTATGCGAGACTTTCTACGTTGAGCCAATGAAGAAGAGCCGTGGCAGGTCACGCGACCACTGAGCTCTGTCGCAGAGAGAGCTAAAGAGACATCAGACTGCAGGGTCACGTGACTAGATGGCTCCGTCCCGTTCGAGATGGCGGACTGAGACAAATAAGCCATCTGGAGAATGGAGAGAAAGCAATGTAAAAAAGTTTGGGGAGAGTTCCTTTCAGTGTGCCATGGTCGCCTCAAACCATGCATTAGTTCAAGTCGAAATACAATGTTTTAAGCAATGGAATACAGCTTAAATATCATACGGCCTTGTACAAGGAAATGAAGCTGGAATGATCATGGCAAAAGACCAGTGGGCATGGCAAAATGAAAGGCAAATTGTAATCACACTTAAATGATGAATACAACAAATGCAACAGAAACTACAGATACATTATTCACCATATATCCCAAATGTATGCCATTACAGTAGAAAGATTCACATGCAATAGAAACATCAACCAAAAAGCTACTTGATCAGAGCAATATTAATGCTACAGCAGCATCGCAATGCATAAAGTTAGGATTCACTGCACACACTATTATTACACAACACCACACCAACACCAAAAATGAGACTACAAAGGCTTCGCCCAAACTATCAATGCATCATTCAAAACCGATCCCCTTAGTGGAAAAAACCTCCCCTGTAACTCCCCTGTTAACAACCTTCACTACAAGAATTACTTAGAAAGGATCCAAAGTTACTACTTTACAGACAGTTAGTGGAAGATCGTTACGACAGAATCTCAAGTCCGTAAACAATAAAACAAAGACAACACACAGGCCCAAGTCTAGCGGCCAAAACTCGAAACGCTCAGCGATTATGCACAAAGATCCTTAGAGTGAATCTTGCTCCGTGTCTCTCTTTTGTTATTTTGGCTTTCTGCTTATAGGCTTAAAAGTTGTTAAAATTCTAAAGTAACCTACACTACTTTTGACACTCCACACACTATTTGGGTGACCCCTAATTTCTTCCTAAAGCTGCCATGTTTCTTATTTATTTTTTTTTGTTTTGTTTATCATCAATCATTAGCAAGACACTTATTTTGACCACATTCTGAATACATCTGAGCACCTAGCACAATCGCAAATCACAACAGTTGCATGGCGCAAGTCCGATGCACATGGGAGCTTTGAGAGAGAGTACGTTCACCTCCTATTATTCTGAACGCCTTAACAAATTTAACCTTCTCTTAGGAGAGGCAATTGGCTCTATCCTGTCTCACGCTCACGCCGAATTCCATATCTTTAGATTTTCAAGTCCTGAAAGTAAAGAGAGTTCCTAAAGCTCTTCAACCAAATGAGATGAAAAGGATTCCTTGTCATCTATAGCTTGTGCATTTAGTTTAATAATATTATCATATTAGTTCACACTCCACACACAAAGTTGGTTAATCACCAGTCCTTGGTGGATTTGCGCTTCATTGATAGTAAGATTTATTCCCTGGCTTTTATACTGCTTGATCTTATTTAGTGAATCAGCTCCTAACTGTTAATGCCATGCACCATCGAGGGAACACAAAAACCGGGTCAGGACCTGATATCCTCTTACGGGGTTAGTTTTGTCACATCACCATTGCTTTCTGCGCTTTAGACTGGCATTCAGGGAAGACCTTTATGCAAGACAAGTTAATCTTCGGTGAACTAGCATCTAAAGCACTAGAATGCATGTTTGAGGTTAGTGAGAAGCATTTCTGTCTCCCTTATGACTTACATTACTAGTGGAGGAATGTTGGTTTTTGCTGAAGAATTTAGGAAATTCCATTACCATTGTTACATTTGTTTATCTTTACCTATGTTATATTGTTATTCAGTTTATATCTACAGGAAACTTGTTAAGAAAATATTTTGAGACTGTTAATTAGTCGCATTTGTTAATTCATTGCATTTTCTGAAATTTAGTTCTAGTAAAGCAGGCCAAAATTTAGATGAATTGCATTAAATAAGACAAATCATATCCGATAATCCTATTCTATATATCATGTTTTTTCCTTTTCAAATATATATGCATATAAAGACACTGTAAATAAGGACAGAACAATATTTTTTGCCCTAAAAACCTACTTTCGCCTATAAATTCCTAAATTAACCTTTGTTAAACCTAAAGACTTTCCGATATCTGCACCTGGCTCTGAGCCTGCCTTCCGCGGAACCTTACCTCACTGGGTTGACTGAGGAATGAGCAGACAGCATCAACATCGAAGTCCGGCACAGTGGGCATCGGGCTGGTGGCGGACGGGTGACCCTGTGTGCCCTCGGCTGGTGACTCTCCACATGGGTCACCCTCTCCTAGGCGACGCAGCTGGTTGATGACTACACTCATATTGCCTGATCTGTAACATTCAAACGGGTTAATATCTTCATGTAAACTAAAAGGTATTTATAAATTCAGCTGGAGATGTCGGATACCATGTGTGCTGTTCGGTAATGTATCATATTCATTTATCATCCTGGCCACGCCAGAAAGGATTGCTACCTGAGGATGGCTCGGATCTGAGAAGCGAGGGTGGAGATTATGCTGTCCTTGAGTGTTCCTCTGGCAGCCAGGCTCTCGGCCTGCTTTGTCAGCTGCTCCATACGCTGCGTTAACTCTTCTAGGTCAACCTGCAAAAACGATGCGCATAATCAGTAAAAAAAATAGTTCAGTACAGATAAACATGAAGTGCGCGCGCGTGCGCGCGCACTTCATGTTTACACACACACAAACACACACACAGTGTATATTGCAACACGATGAACATGGTAGCTGTTACACAGAATGTTCGTGCCTTGTGCTTCGCTTCTAAGGACATCCTCGCGCGCTCGTAGTCCTCCACGGTTTGCATGAGCTGCTGACGGAGACTAGCCAGTGTACTGTTCAGATGCTCCACCTCTTCACCCTGTCATCAAATCATAATTCTGAATATGCATATCGACATAAATGGTATAGTTATGAAATAGTTTCATTTCTTTCCATCCCACTCATTTGTTATGAGAAGACATGACAGAAGACAAGATCTTTTACAAATAAAGGACGCGCGTGTAACCTTGAGTGTGAGGGCAGCATCCCGCGACTGCAGCTGCTGGTTGAGCTCGCTGGCTTCGTTGTCAGCCAGACGGAGCTCCTCCTCCTTCCGTCCTATCGCCTCCTCCAGTTCCCGAACCTTCTCCTCTAACTCCTCCAAGATTGTGGAAGAGCCTTGAGGGCGCACGAGCCTTCTGCTGCTGCGCTCCTCTAACCGCCTTCTGCTCCTCCGGCGCTTGGTTCTTAGGAAGCTCGCGCCCGAGTCGCAGTTGGTGGCGTCCCCGCTCGAGTGTTCCCGAAGCCCCTCCCCGGCGGGGGTAGGAGGGGGGGTCGTAGTGGCTTCGCCGGCCAAGTTTTCTGCTGTGTCTGTGATGAATGTTTCTGGAAAGGAGGACAGTGGTTAGCGCAATCTGCAATACCGCTAAGCCTGTAAGGTGATTTTGGATGACAGGTCATCTTCAATGCTTTCCAAGCCGACCTACTCACCTCCCTCATCACTATCCAAGGTTACGTCCGTGTCGGAGTTGCTGGCCCTACCCTCGAGCAGCTCTGCCAAGGTGCCGAGCTGAGCGGTCACCTCGGCCAACGTGCTCTTCTGGGTCTCACTACAGGACTCGCAGCTCTGAGGACAAAGCGGAAAGAACCATCAATCATGCGCAAATCGATCACGCGTTTGAAGAGGCCGAAAAAGCCATATTGCCTGGAAAACATGACCAAGATAAAAACAATGTTCTGCAGATCAGCGCATGTTATGAGGCTTCAGCGTGTGAAAACATGAGAGAAACTAACCTTGAGGGCAGTTATTAGAGAAGTAATGGTAGCATAAAGCGGAGCTATGGGTGAGGCAGCCAGGACGTCCAGCTCACTAGCGGCATGTTCATGGCTCAGCTGTTCGAGCTGGCCCTGCAGCTCCTTAACATGACTTTCCCCAGCGGATACCTGGAAAGACCGCCGTAATACTATCAACCGGCCTAAAATATAAACATCCCAGAGCAGCAATTAACACAAGCTTTCACACACACACACAACAGCAACGCCCCAGCAAAGCTGGCACCCCGAGTCCGGCTGGAAAGCTCACCTGGAGATTAAGAGTAAGAAGATCCTGCTCGTGGCGACGGCACTGCTCTTCCAGCTCCTTCGCTAATTGCTCGCTCTGCGCCTCTGCTGCCAGCACCCGGTCACGCAGTTCACAGTTAAGCCTCTCAAGCTCATTAAGCTGTGAGTTCCCTAATTTAAGTTGATTACGAAGTTTTGTAACCTAAGAGCGGGGGAAATGAATGACTGTTAATTATATGCGTTTTTTCCACTCTTGTGTTCACGGTATATTCTACAATCTTCAGTTTTAATTTTGACACCATTAGTGGATTTATTTCATGGGTAATGATCATTAATTCTGCAAAAAATCTACCTCAGAACGGTGCTGAGTCTCTTGACTGTTCGTCTCGGATGATGACTCCCTCAGCTGTCGTTCCGTCTCAGCAAGTCGGGCTTTTAACTCCTCCAGTTGCTTCTTGTAGGATACCTCGCATTCTCTAGCACCGTGTTCCTTAGACGCCGCAGACTCAAGCTGGGCCTTGTATGACTGTACCTCCTCTTGAAGGGATGAAACCTGCAGGTGGAATCAACAGAATAAGAATGGCGGGCATGAGATGAATCACGGCAGTGGAACTGCAGAGATAACTTCGTATTAACACAGACCAACGGGGCAGCCATACACACCTGATCTCGAAGCTTTTTCTCTCTCTGAGCTAGTATGAGGTCGGCCTGCTGGAGGGTCTCGCGAAGCATGTTCTCGGTCATCTCCAGCTCCTCGACTCGACCTCGAAGGTAGCTCTCGTTCTGCTGCACCTCGCTCATCTTGCGGGCGGAGTCTTTGGCCTGGAAGTGCAAACAAAGGGGCTCAGCGTGGAAGAACTCATTCAACTCATTTTACTTGTCATACCTTACTGTGACAGTTTAAGCTAGATTTCAGTACAACACTGACCTGGTTGATCTCTGCGGAAAGAGCGTTATTTTCTGTTTCTAGCGTCATGAGACGATGAACTAACTCCTCTTGGTCCCGCAGTTCTGCTCTCAAAGACTGGTTCACCTTCTCGCCCTCCATCAGCTGCCAAGGGAAAATAATGCCATGAGTATCCATGTACTTCTTCCCTCAAATCTTACTGATCTTTAAAATGCCGGGTGGACCAGCTCTCCATGACAGCTCACAAATAGCCCCACACACACCTTGATCTGCAGCTCCTTCTCACTTCGCTCGAGGCCCCAGACGCGCTCCTTGAGCTTCAGCTCTGAGTTCTCCGTTTCGATCAGGCGGTCCAGGAGGTCGGAGATTCGAGCGCCGTCACTGGACCTGGAGTTGTTCCTCAGGTTGGCTCTGAGGCGCTCCTCGGAGGCCTCCAGCTGCTGGATCTTGGAGGACTGCTGTTCCATCGAGGCTTCCAGCTCTTCTATCCTCTGCTTGTACGAGGTAACATGGCTGGACATGATCTTGTCTGCTTCACGGATGGTCTCGCGATAAGCACACTCCTGCGGATTATGCACACGTGTTGTAAGGCTTTCCCTCCGGGTTGCAGTGGCCAAAGAATGTTCATAATGATCAATCTGTTCATTACCTTTTTAATATATATTATACCAGCCCTCTCTCTCTCTCTCTCTCTCTCTCTCTCTCTCTCTCTCTCTCTCTCTCTCTCTCTCTCTCTCTCTCTCTCTCTCTCTCTCTCTCTCTCTCACACACACACAACGCTGGTAATATCAACTGAAAAAATAAGAAAATGAAACTCCCAGCACCGGACAGAACTCAAGGAATTACCTTTTTCTCAAGGTCGCAAATCCTCTGCCTGAGGGCAGTCTCTGACTTGACGAGTTCCCTGATCTTCTCCACGAGTTCTCCGTCGCTGTCCCCAGCCCTGGCGGACGACCTCCTGCCCGAACCGAGGACGCTTTCACAGCCATTGTCGTACTCAACGAGGTCGCCCGCGATGGAAACTCCGACGATCTCCAGTTCCTGCCTGAAGGTGGACAGCTGGTGCTCGAGCTGGCGCATCCGCTCGTCCTGGCGGCCGCGCTCCTTCTCCTGCTCCGCCAGGCGAGCCTCGTACTCCCGGCGAAGGGCCTTCTTCTCCAGCTCGTAGAGGTCGTTGTAGCGAGACATGTCGCCCTTCAGCTCCTCTATTCTGACTAGTAAATTCTTCTTGACTTCGTCGCGCTCGTCCTGAGCCTCTTCAAGACGGAACAGGAGGTGGCACTTGTCGCGCTCGGCCTCCTCCAGCTGCTGTCTCACTGCTTCCATCTCTTCCTCCAGGTCGCTGTGCTGCTGCAAGGAGTCGCGCCTTTCGTTGTCGTGACCCTGAGGAAATAAAAAAAAAGAATCGTTCCGAGAGACGCATCACACGTAACGGCCGATTTGTAATAAACCATGAGATGAAATAAAATACTGTAACACAATCTCACCTTGCGGAGGTTGATCTTTTCCCTCTGCAGAGACTCAATCTGCTCCAGGTAGAACTGTTCTCGCTCTGTGGGTCCTGTGTTGTCCACTGTCATGGTGGCTTGGGTCCTGGTCTCAAGGTGTCTCGCCCTTTTCCTGGCGGACTCGTATAGCTCCTCCTCGGACCCTCCCGCCGGCTGCGCTGGATCGCCACCATGCTGAACCTCAGCAGAGTGCTTCGCCATTTGGGTCTGGACGCCGACATCGGCTATTACGTTCGGACAAGTCTGAACACAGACATCACACACAACGGGGGGACACACATACACATCATTATCGGCTTCTCGAGGGGCGCGTTCCCTCTTGAATATGCGCCCTTCCAGGAAGGGCTTCGTGGGGTAGGTTGCGGGGGACACTTTCAGCGGGTAGCCGCCGTACGGGACGAGGGCAGCGGACGGCTCCGGCACCAGCTGGCGCCAGTACTCGGCGGCCACGAGGCCCCACGCCGCGAAGGACAGCTGCTGCGAGAGGGCGTCTCGGGCTTGAGCCAAGGCCGACGCTTTCTCTTCTGTCCTGCGGGTCACGGCTTCCAGCTTGTCAAGGCGGCCGCGGTAATCCTTCTCCAGGATCTGCAGGAGGAAGGAAAATATTCAGAGGAATCCACGGACACCGGAAGGGGAGGGAAAGGGAGGGAGGGAGGGAGGGAGAGAGAAGGAAAGAGGGAGAGGGAGGGGGAGAGAAGGAAAGAGGAAGAGAAAGAAAGAGAGAGAGAGAGAAGGAAAGAGGGAGAGGGAGGGAGAGGTAGGGAGGGGGGAGAGAGAGGGGGGGGAGGGAGGGAGGGAGAGAGAGAGAGAGAGAGAGAGAGAGAGAGAGAGAGAGAGAGAGAGAGAGAGAGAGAGAGAGAGAGAGAGAGAGAGAGAGAGAGGGAGGGAGAGAGAGAGAGAGAGAGAGAGAGAGAGAGAGAGAGAGAGAGAGAGAGAGAGAGAGAGAGAGAGGGAGAGAGAGGGAGAGAGAAGGAAAGAGGGAGAGGGAGGGAGAGAGAAGGAAAGAGGAAGAGGAAGAGAAAGAGAAAGAGAGAGAGAGAAGGAAAGAGGGAGAGGGAGGGAAGGGTAGGGAGAGAGGGAGAGAGAGAGAGAGAGAGAGAGAGAGAGAGAGAGAGAGAGAGAGAGAGAGAGAGAGAGGGAGGGAGGGAGGAGAGGAGAGGGAGAGGAGAGAGGAGAGGGAGAGGGAGAGAGGAGAGAGAGAGAGAGAGAGAGGGAGAGAGAGAGGAAGAGAGAGAGAGGAGAGAGAAAAGAGAGAGAGAGAGAGAGAGAGAGAGAGAGAGAGAGAGAGAGAGAGGAGAGGGAGGGAGGGAGGGAGAGAGAGAGAGAGAGAGAGAGAGAGAGAGAGAGGAGAGAGAGAGAGAGAGAGAGAGAGAGAGAGAGAGAGAGGAGAGGGAGAGGGAGGGAGGGAGAGGGGAGGGGAGAGGAGAGGAGAGAGGAGAGGGAGAGGAGAGGAGGAGAGGAGGGAGGAGAGGAGAAGAGAGAGAGAGAAGAGAGAGAGAGAGAGAGAGAGAGAGAGAGAGAGAGAGAGAGAGAGAGAGAGAGAGAGAGAGAAAAGAGAGAGAAGGAAAGAGGGAGAGGGACGGAGAGGTAGGGGGGGAGATAGATAGATAGATAGATGGAGAGGCAGAGGGAGGGAGGGAGGGAGGGAGTAAAGAGTAAATAAAATAAAATAAATGCATATGTAACAGGATGGAGTCCTCACCTGGAGGTCCCTGACACGGCGGTGAAGCTCCCGGGAGATTTCTTGTTCCTGGGCCAACGACGCGCTCAGCAGGTTCTCCATCTCTCTCGCGGCCTCCATCTGGGACTCCAGCCTGAAGGGACGGGAACACTTTAGCTACCCTGACCATACACACGAGCTAATTGTCTCCCAGAACCATCCCTGCCTTTAAATCAAGTGCATGCCTGGTTTTCTTGCAAACCAGCGATATTCATTCTTGTTACCGCGCTCGTCGAGGGGCCATCCTTCACCCTGACCTGCGCCCGGCGACCTGCCCTTCCCGTGACACCCTGCTGGCCGCTGCCTGGCTCTCCTTCGCTAAACGAGCACCTGTCTCCACAGTGCCTGCCTTACATTTATCCCCTGAAAACCTGCAAGCCCCGGGAACTCACTTTTCCTGCTCCTCGCAGACTCCCTTCATGGAGTCCGCCACAGAGGCTGCAGCCTGCGCCAAGGACACGGCGCGGGTCAGTCCGTTCTTCCTGGCCATCCCTTCTACGCCCGCGCTCGCGTCCTCTGTCCCACTGGCCCTTTTCAAGCAGGCCAGGACAGGTGGAGGCAGGGTTCGGCCTGGCCTCCATCTGTGATCCTGTAGGAGCTGCAGGAGGTGAGGATCCATGGTCGGGGGTCCGCCGTCAGGCTCCAAGCCCCTGGCCGCACGCCCCACGACCGTTGACGCGGCCCATC